GGCGGGTAGGGTCGTACTGAAGAAGCGAATATAGATGGTGATGGTTTGTTTCTCGAGAATTCAAGGAATTCAGGAATTTTCCCTTAAGGATACAGTGTGTCCCAAAAGTATAGGGACACCCTATTTTTCTTCAATATCTCTATAATGGGCGAATGTTTCTCTCCAAATTTTTAAAAACAATGCATTATTACACCACGGTACAAATATATAATGAAATTGGAAAGAAAAATCTTGTAGATTTTTTATAATTTTTTTTCTAAAATCATGGCGTCCCAAAAGTATAGGGACACTTCGGCGTTCAAACTTCCCGAACGATATACTTAATGAAATCAATAATAACAATAATGATTAAAAAGTAGTAAACATTTCTTCTTCTTTCGATAACTTGAATCATCCGCTTCGGCATGCTTTGGGCAAACCTTGAATCGTTTCCGGCGATATCTGCTCTCAAGCCTCCTTGACGGCGTTTTTCAGCTGTTTTTCGTTCTCAAACTGTCTGCAGTTGGCGTAAACGTCCCGTGTGAGTATGCCCAGAGGTTCTCTATCGGATTCAAGTCAGGTAATTTGTGTTTCTGTCTTGGAACCACTCCAGTGTTGAGACACTTACATGAACGGCGGCGTTGTCTTGTTGGAATTTGAACTTAAAGGGTGGAAATCGCTGCATGTATGGTACCGAATTGTTTTGGGGATGTCCTGTAGCCACTGGAGTTCAAGCGTTGCGTGACAAAAACCAGTTCACTCTTACGAAGTGCTGTGAAGGCAGCTCAAACCGTGACATTACCGCCACCGAATCCGCGTCTGGAAAAGTAGTGTGGCTCCTTCCTCAAATCGCGCCAATAGCTTGCCAGGCCATCGGGTCCATTCAAATTAGACTTCTTTTCATCGGAAAAATTCACCTGGAGCACTACAGTGTGTGATATTACATGCGGAATCCGCCAGTGCAAAGTACCTCATCCCATTGACGAGTCCAGCCTACGTGTTCCTTTGCGAAAAAGACTCGTGCTTCTCCATACGCACTCGTCAAATGGCGTAGTCAAAAACTGCCTTTGAACGATGTGGGGACATGATTTGAGCACACGATGACAGTACTTCTCGACACATCGGGTGCTACTTCCTTGCTCAGCCGCCGCACACCCTTTGTGGAATTGGATGCAGCATAGAGAATTCGGCGCTTCTGCCTTTCCAAAACTTTCCTAGGTCTCCCGCTCCTTTTTTCGTACCGTAGGAGTCGATGTTGTTGCAGAATTTGCTCACCAAGTTGACTGATCGTCCTAATTTCCTTGAAATGCTGCGGTGGCTGAGTCCCATACACTTGTAAGCCCAAATTTGGCCTTTCTCAAAGTCGTGTAGTTTCACAACACACCTAAGTCAGAAACACTGCAGAAGAACCGAGTGTCCCTATACTTTTGGGACGCCATGATTTTAGAAAAAAAATCATAAAAATCTGCAAAATTTCTTTCTAATTTCACTCATATATTGTAACTTGGTGTATAAGCATACATTATACGAAGTCGCCTGCGAAATCATTACTTTTATAACAGAGAACTGAAATAATAGGGGTCCCCTTACTTGTGGCACCGTATTTACCGTCGTTATGATGCCAGAAACCGTGAAGCTCACTTTAAGAACAAAGAGAACATAGAAGAGATAGGTGGCACACAGACGAACCAAGTAGACATTGAATTTGGTCGCCGGTGGTTACTGAATTGCAACTTTTCATCTTATAATTGTTAATGACTCACACTGTTCCTTTACTTTCAATTTGCAGGCTTTTTTTTCAGACGGAACTTAACACTGGTGTCGAACTATGGCGCTGCAAGCTTTGTACTAGAGTGATGTATAGAAAGAGTTTATACAGTCATCTGAAGAATATCCACTTTCTATCGAAGGAAGAATAGAAAAATCAAACTTAATCGCAAGTGGAATCATTCCTGAAAAAATAAACACAAATTGGGCAAACAAAACGCGCTTTTGTGTCCCATATGCAAGGAGCAAGTCATTATCAATCCGGAATTGCTAAGCAACTTGCGACAAATCCATTATGATGATGGACTGAGTTACGCAAGACTACAGGCTGTACAGGTTGACTTCGAGTCTCTATGCTTAGAGTGTTGAGGTGTTTATGCCATGAATGACAAATACGCTAGGTTTAAAAACAAGTCCTAAATTCACAGACAGAAGCCTTGTCTTTGGGCTGTAAAGAAACATGGCAATGCACTCATGACAACTAAGGTCACGTTTTCTCTAGTCCATATCACAAGGTGTGCGATAAGAGGTTCAATTTGCGGCAATGGGCTGAAACTGAAACTAGCAAGAGATGAAAGTAACACCTTGGTGGGCGCCTTTTATAGGTCATCTTTCTTCGGATGAAGCGTCTTCAGCTCACTGCACAACCGTCAATCTTATCTTCTTATGTCATGGATAGGATCAACCCTAGCGTTGGCACCTTTCAGAACGAATTTCGTTCAAATCGTCCGCTGACCTGTCTTGATCTGTGGTGAACCATGCCGTAGGCAGATATGGTGTAATCTTAGCATGAATGCAAACGATTCAGAAAGAAGTGAAAGCGCGAGAATATGAGATTACTTGTGACCATGTCACAATGCCCGACGCCGTGCGAAAAGTGGGACGCGCAACCGCGTCACGCAGTTGTCAATGTCTTGGGGAAATCAGTACCCCGAACTTTGGCGTTGACTAGTAGAGGTAGATTGTGCATACAATAATCTCCAAGCCGGTTCATTCTCTAGACACTTACGAAAAGGTTGTGAAGAGAGACGTCTCAATTAGTAAGTAATAGAAAAGTGGTGATGGGGAAACGAACAGAAGGGTGGTGACAGGGAACTACTTACGAGCGCATGCCCGCGTTCTTTTTTGTTGTTCCACTAACAGTCAAATTTTGTACAACTGTAACAGAAAAACCTGTTAGCGTTTCATTCTCTTGATCCAGTCATCCCCTCATTATAGCATTGGCTTGAAGAGGAATGTGAACGGACGTGCACGACCTTGGTCCGCCGAACATGTTCGTCCGGAGGCGCTTTATATACTCTAAGGTAGCGATCAGTTACAGGTTTCTAATTTTTTCACAAAGAATTATTGTGCTGTCGTATGTTATCCTTATAATTACTGCTGGAATGGTGGAGATGGTGTTGTGCCAAGTGGCGCTGTCGCCACGAGCTCTTGTTACTAGATGAGACCTTGCTAGAAACTACAATTTTATGTAGGGGAGGAAATTCAAGGGGTGCGTGAACTGTTTCGCTTCCTTTTTCTACACCAACACAGTTCCTTCTCTTGCCAACAATTGGATTACTTTGGGCGACATGAACTGTCGGACCACAGCCTGCCCCCTCTTACGGTATGAGACCGACAAAATAATTCACATTCACCCTATATTATTTAGGGTAAATAAGTACGCATTGAATTTGCTTTGCGATTTGTGCTGATGTTGAATGCATGGCGCATTGTAAAGCTGTGGATTAATGCCGACCGCTCTACCTTTATTTCTTTTAAATAGCTTTCCCTCACACAGTAGGATTATGAAAGTTCTGCAGTGCACCTGAGATCCTAATAGCTTATTCTTCAGAACATTTCAGGTGTAATAGATCTGAACGAATTTCCTCTAAAGCGCCGAAGAAAACCAGGAAAGTACCCAAAGATTGCCCATGCTTCATGTATGTGCACATCAGCAAGAAAGGGCAAGTTAACGCTCATGGATGTTTCGGTCATGCTGGCCATGATATCAACGTTGCTCTCCTTCGCAGAACGCATTCGCAAGAACTCTATCTCAAGGACCTTTTAGAACGTATGACTGAAATTTTCAGTTATTTTTTGTTCATTTCCATCACAGGGACCAGTTTTTCAGATTACTCCATAGGTGATATTCTTGATAGGCTGAAGAAGCAATTCTCGCCGCAGACCAAGCTTTATCACGTCACACGTGGTGATCTCTGGACCATTGTTAAGAAATACAAAATTGCCATAGCTGCTAAGGGTTCGAAAAATAACTGGCGTTGGCCAACACTCGGTGAAAGGAGGTTGCGAAAGAGAGTTGGAGATGGTGGAATCACTGAAGCGAACGATGCTAAACGTCCATCTATATGAGGTATTTTATGTTACTTAACTTCAAATAATTTATAGGTTACCAAGTAATAGGCTATTCTAAGGAAGTGTGGAAAGTAACAGCAGAAAAAGGCTGTGTTGGGTGTGACAACAGCTGATAGGATTGGGTATAGAGTGATGACAAGTGATCATGGCTGACAATACTTCGAGAGTGATAACGTGTGATGGTGGTCAATACGGAGTGATATTCTAATAAAGTGAATGGAGCTGGGTTGGGTGTGGAGCTTTTTTCCTTAAATGTATCTTTGCCTCACAAGCGAAGTCAACCGTCCGTTTGAACAGATTGACTGGGGGAGAGGGATCTATAGGGGGGACGAGGCGCTATTTCGGGCAGAGCAAGGTTGACCTTCTCTCCGGAAATTGCGAACGGGGGTCCTATTTGTGGAATCTATGGGAAAGGGAAAGTCGCGTGATGCTGAGCTATAGAACATGTGTGAAAGTATGAACGCAACGGTTGACCAGTTCCCAAGCGGTTCAGCGCGCACGGTGCTTACGTGCCGTGCGGTCCACCCGAAAAATTGAAATTGAGGAAGTTGTGACGCGCTGCGGCCGCGCCCGTCATGTGCGGTAAGCAAACCAGCCGTTTTGGTGTTTCTGCTGGGGCCGTGTGCTGAATTTTAGGGAGGAGATGAGGTTCTCGAGTTCGACGGACTACTTGCACTCGGTCGCTACGGTAGGAAAGTGATGACGAACTGGTGCATCTAGGT